TGACAGCAATGATCGGTTGGTTTTCGATGGGTTGAAATAAAAACACCCCGAAGACACCTGTCCCCCACACTGGAGGGGACATTGCCGATTGGGGTTCTATCGATATCTCAAGGTGTGAAGTGGCTATGGACGGTTCGGCCTTTCGCCACACGATTCGGGAGCTTTCGAGGGCTGTCTACCCTCGGGTCTTTTTGGGCCCTGGCGATACCACCGCTGCGCACGCTAAGGGAACATTGCTTAACGTCCTGCCTCAGACCCCTCAAGCTGCTGAACACGTGTCCACGGCGCTGCTCCCGATGTTCCAGGAGCGAGGGGGCGACAGCCGCTCCGACTGCATGAACGTTGTCCGCCTGCGCAGCGCTCCCAAACAGCTTCAAGCTTCCCGCAAGCACACATACGCTGGTCTTCGACGCGGAGCATTGCTGCACGAAGGAGGTGCTATCCGGCCCGTGCATCACACTCGCGCGCATCGCTCCCGAAAGACGTATCGGAGTAGGCATCTGGAATGCGGACGTCTGGGCCAAGCAGGCTCTCTCCCTCCACCCCCAACCCAGTTTGCATGAAAGAGAGGAGGTGGACAGGAAATGTAAGTTTTTGATTTTCGCGGCGAAGGTTGCGGGCACCCCTGCGGAGAGATTCGATCGTCTGCCGATGGGTCCGAAGGCCAAGTTTTAAAAATCAGGAGGCTGGCATGCCTGGCAGGACTTAGGTTTTGGCCGTGCGCGTTGCTTGCATTGCCTCTAGTTTTCCTCTGACATTTCGGCGAGACCCATATTAGGATGTAAGGGCCCCAGCAAGACCTGGATGGGGTGTCTTGTATCGCTCCCTGGGACACTCATTGGCCCACTGTATAGTCGAGAAAGGAGAGCAGCAGCTAACTCTCTTTTTCTGCACCACGTGTGGAGCTTACCCCTCTACGAGGTGTCACACGCTTGGCAGAGAGTGTCTTCAGCGCCCGTTGTCGGGTGCCCCCACCACTCTGCGACTAATTTCTTCTAGTTTGTATCCTCACTACCGCGAACCAACCACGGTCAGTGAAAAGCACGAGGCGAGGGGTGGCGTTCTTTTGCCATGCTGCACAGCAACCCCCGCCTCGCGATGTTAGTTCGCCTACGCCCACCTCTGGAGCGATACCTACCCCAGGCATGTTGGCGCTCCAGGCACGTGTGGCGGCTCGAGGCCGAGGCTGCAGCAAGGACTGCAATCAGGTCTCGATAGAGTCGCATTCTGAGCTGCCGCGTTTTCGGCAAGCTCCGCTTGGTTTTGATTCAAATCGTTCAGGCCCTATGGGATCGCTGATCAGTTTCATTTATCCTTTTCCATCTCATCCTCCGGATCCTTCTCCATTGGCTCCCTGTCTGTCCTCCTCATCTTCCCACACCCTCTCCCTCCCCTTGCCCTCATGAAATCGTCCTCCTTTCTCTCCCCGTTCCCCGCGCTGAACACATCGACGTATGAGGCTCGTCTGGCTCTGGCGACGAGCCCCCCCCCCCACCTGGGCGGCCACAGAGAGCAAGAAAGCCGAAGGACCGCTACGCAGACCGCCCCCCCGGCAAAAATACCCTCGTGGGCCTCCCTCTGCTCTTCTCAAGGGGCGGGCGGGGGGCGGGGCGGGACGTGGTTTAGAGAGGGAAGGGAAGAAGGATGGGAGGAGGGAGGGGAGGAGGAGGAGGGAGGGTGGACGGAAGACCGGAGCAAGGCGAGGCACGGCCTTCGTTCCCGCCGCCCCCCCCCCACCGCAGCCCACGGTGGAGTCTGCTGCGTGTGCTCTTCTTTCTCTTCTCGGGGGCGAGCGAGGGGGGAAGCGAGGAGGAGCGGGCCTTCTCAGAAGGATCGAAGTCCCCCGGTCTTCTGAGAAGTGCGCTAAGCCTTCCCCGAAGGCGCAGTAAGCTTGTCAGAAGGCGCGAAGGCTTCTTGGAAGTCCCGCCGCCTTCTGAGAAGGCCTTCTCCTTCTCACTTCCCCCCCATCGCTCGCCGCCGATCTCTTCTTATGCTTCCACGGAAGAAAGGGGTGGGGATGAGGGAGGAAGGAGGATGAGGAGAAAATCAAGAAAACTGACCCACTGGCGCCGTGATGCGAGGTGAAGTCCGACCACGACCAGAAGGCGTGCTGTGGGTCGCTGTGCACCTTCGAGCTGCAGAGAGCTCGCTCATTCGAGGGTGCACGGCATCGCTTGCGAACTACTGCAGGCAGCAAGCAAAAAACTGCTACGGGGGGCTTGGCTCGCCTGCGAAATACAGCCTGCATTCGTTGACACCCACCTCCATTCCATTAGGCTCCCTTCTCCGTCATCATGGATGCGCGCGCTGCCTCTGGCAGCAACTCATCCGAATCTGGGGCAAGCGCGCGTACCTGCTTTGTGTCTGCGCGCCTGCCACATCCGACTACAGGTGGTGGGGTCGGGGCTGGGCTCAGGAGCACAGGCAGAGAGGGGAAAGGAGAACACGTCTGGCGTAGGGCCCAGACCGCAGCTGCGTACAGCGCAGGGCGCGGCCCCGTCCTCATATCCTACGCAACGCAGGACGCATGGAGGTCGGGTCCCCGTGGGTGCACGAAACGTCCGAGGTGGAGGGGGGGGGGGCAGCATGCCCGCGCGCGCCCACCGCAGCCGCAGGTGGAACTCCTTGTGGGGGCACCTGTAGGGGCCGAAAGGGGTGTGCCGAAATGGGCACGGGGCGGCATACACCTGCACCGGTTGGAGTCGCAGGTGAAGCCCTGTCATGGGTCATGGGGGGCTCGGAACGAGTGAGGGGTGTGCCGAAATCGGCACGGGGCGGCTTGCACGCCCACCCTCTGGGGCCGTAGGTGGAGCTCCCTCCGGGGGCACGAAGCATGTGAGGGGTGCACCGGCATGAATAGGGTGCGGCATACGCGTGCGCCCACTGGGGTCACAGGTGGAGCTCCTGACGGAAGCACGAAGCATGCGAGGTGGGTACCGAAAAGGACAGGTGGACGGAAAGCAGGGCAGGGAGACGAGGAGGAGAGGGGAGGATGAGAAGGAGACGAAGAAGACGCGCGGCGCTGCGGGTTCAAAACAAAGACCCGACCACACTGGAGGGCTTGGAAATCCGCCGACCATTGGAGCCACTGGGCGTGTGAGATCCACTCCAAAAAAGTTGCCTCCCCTCGGGCTGGGCCCAAAATTGCGCTCTGGAGGGAAAGGGCAAGCCCCCTCGCGACAGGGGGGCGAGCTCACCCGGGGCCTGTTCGGCCTCCTGGGGCCTCCCTGCAGCCTCTTGGCCCTGTTGGCCCCGGGTCGCCGAAACCAATACAAGGAAAACGACGCCCGGTACCCCCATACCCCGTCGAGGTCGCGGTCCTGGACCCCGGGCCTCGTGCGGGGGATATTTATATATATATATATATATATATATATATATACGCACCTCTCCGAGGGAGTAGAGCTCAGAGGCGATTAATGCGTACGCGGGGCGCCGCGTCCGCGATGTTTCTAGCCGTTTCGCTAGGGACATCCTCGAAATTCTGAAAATCGGTGGCACCCCTCACGCAGATCGTGACGTCAGGGTCCAAAAACACATGGGAATTTCAACAGTTTAACATAAAATCTTCAAAAAACACATGGTAATTTCAATAATTTTGACCCCGATTCTCAGAGAATGGCGGTTTCGCTTGAAATCCCAAATTCGATCCCCGACGTACCCTCTGGTACCCCAGACCCCGCCTCGGAGCCTCCTGGGGGCCTCCTGGAACCTCCTGGGGCCTCCTGGGACTTTCTGAACCTTCTGGTACCCGAGACCCCGCCTCGGAGCCTCCTGGGGGTCTCCTGAAACCTCCTGGGGGCCTCCTGCGGCCTCCTGGAGCCTCTTGGGGCCTCCTGGGGTCTCCTGGGGCCTCCTGGGGCCGCCTGGGGCCTCCTGGGGCCTCAGAACTACATGCACACACAGAGACACAAATCACGCCCAACACATCACACGCTAGACAAACATAACACACACACACACACAGACACACACAACACCTACAACGCACAAAAAGCAGGCACAACACAGAGCACACATCACCCCACACACACACACACACACACACACACACACACACACACACACACACACACACACAATCCTGGGGCCTCCTGGAGCCTCTTCTGGTATCCAAGTCGAGCCTCCTGAGGCTTCCTGGGGGGGCCCTGGTACACACATCGCAAGGTGTGGCAACCCCACTTGCGCTCGAGTGCGACTTCGCTGTTGCATTTCACTCCTGCTTCAAACGCCCATTCAGTTTTTTGTATGAGCCTGTGCACACACGTGCCACTTGTATATATATATATATATACAAATAAATAAATAAATAAAAGTGTGCATATATATATATATGTACAAATATACTTACACATATATACATATGTAAGTATTATAGGCGTACAGATATACATCTGTATCCCAAAGAAGACTGACATGAATAACACCAAAATACACCATGAGAGATAAAGAGGCGAGACATCGACAGACAGAGAGAGAGAGAGAGAGAATAGTGAAAGAGTGAGTGAGACAGAGAGAGAGTGGGAGAGAGAGAGAGAGAACAAAAGAAAAGAGAGAGAGAAAGAGAGAGAGACACCAAAAAAAGAGCGACAGCGAGAGAGAGAGAGAGAGAGAGAGAAAGAGAGAGAGAGAGAGAGAAGGAAAATGGCAATCCACCAAACAAAAACACGGGAACGCGCAGAAACCGAGTCGACCTTGAAGGCCTCAAGAGGGCCCCAAGACTGCCGAGAGAGGCCTCCAAGACGGCCTCCGAAGGCGCCAGACGGCCAAGGACCGCCCGAAGACGGCCCGAGGCGCCCCCAAGAGGCCCCAGGAGGCCCCCAAACGAGGCCCCCAAGAAGCCCCCGGGAGGCCCCCGAGAAACCTCCTAAAAAGCTCCCAGAGTGCCCGAAGCGCCCACCCAAGGAGTCTGCACCGTCTGGACGTGCCTCCCGCCAAGCGAAAGGAAGGGCACTAAAAAAAAAGCGCGGAGGCGTGGGCTGCTGCGACGGGAGCCGAGGTCACAGGTAGACGGGCTGCACGCCGTGCACGGGGCCGCGGCAGATGTGACAGCGCTGGCTCGTCTCGGCCAGCCTGATGGTGCAGTCCCTGCACGCCGTGTGCCCACACGGCCGCAGGGCGACCCGCACCGCCACCTCCTCGTGGCAGATCGAGCAGCACCCCTCCCGCCCGCCCGCCGCGGAGCTGGGGCACATGGCGTCTTCGTCGCCGGAGTCTGCGGTGTTCTCCGCGCCGTCCTGGTCGATGGCGGCGCCCTCGCTGCCGGGCGGAGTGCGCAGATATCTGCCGGGCAGCGCCGCCAGCGTCGCACGCATCTCGAGCAGGCGCCTCATCCGCGTGCGCCTGAAGTGGAGGTCGCGCTGCGACTGCGGTGCGGGAACTAGGCCAAGAGCACCCGACGCGGCAAACTCCCGGAGGGTCCGCGAGCAGCGGCTGAAGCAGCAGCACAGGTAGAGCAGGCTGAACGCACTGCTGAAGGCGAGCACGGAGCTCAGCCCTGGCGCCGCAGAAACGTCAACAAACCACCGCAAGCTGCGCCGCGCGCACACGAAGGTGGACGGGTCAGTGGACCCGAGGGCACCTCCTGCGGCCCAGCAGGAGACGAGGGCCAGGTCCTCGGCTGTGTCCCAGGCCGCCCTGGTGAGCTGCACGCCGGACGTCACCTGTCGACGTGGGAAGGCAACCGGCTGGGCAGTGGCCCCGTAGTTCATCAGCTGTGCCCCGAGGGAGCCGGCCCTGTCGCTGGTCATCAGGACCATCAGGCCCCCGTGGGCGACCATCGACACCTGGCCGACGTCTATCGCGACCTGGGGCGAGCCGAGCATGCCGAGCGCGTCGTCGCGGACAACCGCGCCCACCTGCGGGTCGAAAACCGGCTGCTGTGGTGCAAGTCGCCTGCCTAGCTGCGGTCCCGGTGGCAGGCCGCTGCTCGGGACGGCCTCGACGTACTCCCACCGCACCTCGCTGCCAGAGTGCGGCAGCCAGAGCACAGCCAGCGCGCCACCCCAGGGCTGCTGGCTGGCGCACGAGAGGGTGGCGGCCACGGGCCCATCGCCAGCAAAGTCCACCTCCTCGCCTGGCGCCCACTCGCCACCGCTGACGAGGCGGCGCACGAAAGGCCCCGTGGAGCAGGCATCCCTGGGGCCGTTGCAGTAGCCGCTGGTGCCGTTCACCCACAGCGCCCACAGCGAGTCCCCGCACCAGGCGACCTGCGGCTGCCACTGGAAGTGACGCCATTCGGAGTTCACCTGCCGCTCCTCGTGCACGGGGCGGCCCATGCGGTCAAAGAGCCTGGCGAACACGCCCCATCCGTCGCCGTCCTGCCCCCAGCTGCTCCACACGACTGCGAAGCTGCCGTCCACAGAGCTCGCGGACAACCGGACCTGTGTCCGGTCGCAGTCGCCCGGGCCGCTGGCGCGCCGCGGCGGGCCGAGGGGGCCGTACGGGCCCACGAGGCGCACCCACACGTGGCCGTGCAGCGTCCACGCCACGGCCGCGCTGCCGCCGCGCAGGCCCACGACGTCGTGGAGACCGCTGGCCGCCGGCTGGCGGAAGAACTCGCGCGTGGAATTCACCTCCGACCGCGGCCCTCCTCCCACCCTCCTCTTCCTCCTCCTCCTCCTCCTCCTCCTCCTCCTCCTCCTCCTCCTCCCCCTCCTCCTCCTCCTCCTCCGTGTCCTCCTCCTCCTCCTCCTCCACCTCCTCCTCCTCCTCCTGCTCCTCCTCTCGCGCGTGGAGTTCACCTCGGACCGCGGCCCCTCCTCGGCGCAGTCGTGCCCGAACCTCTGCAGCAGGATCGACTCGCCGTCCTGCCACGCTAGGGCAAGGCCGCCCTCCATGGCGGCCGGCACCACGCGCGCGTCCAGGCCGGGGGCCTGTTGCGGGAGGCGCTGGAGCTGGATGGCGCAATCCTGGGGCGAAGGCGCAGGTGACGTGGCAAACAGGGATGCTGCCGCGCTCCACATCATACGGCGCAGCCCCAAAGGAGTGGGCGGGCGAATGAAAGAGGCCTAACACAGCTGAGATCTAAACCGGCTTGAAACAAAACGGCTACGGAGGGTAAGGCGGAAGGGATAAAGGGTAAGCGGAAGAATAAGAACAAGAGGAAGGAGAGAATAATACAATCTGTTTGTCGCCATCCCGTGTTGACAGACCGTGCGGTGACTTCGAAATCTCCAAGGACATCACCGCACGGTCCGTTATCGCACCGTTCTGGCACCCTGGAGGCTCCAATCGCCCGAGACATCCTCTGAGAACGAGCCAAGTCCAAAAGCCGTGCGTTCACCCCGATTCCCCACTGACTCACCACATGGTGTGGTCACCACACCGTTTGGCGATCCCCGACAGTAACCCCAGCCTGTCCGTACTAGTCCCAATCATCCTGTGTGTCGTCGGCGCTGTAGCTGCCACTTACCCGTGGACCTCCCCCGCTTTGCCTAGCCTTATCCCTGCCAACCCTGCAAGCCCACGCTAGCCGCACTGGCCCTGCCTATCGCCAGCGTTTGGTCCTGTGCGTCGCCAGCGCTGGTTGCCGCCGTTAGCGCAAGTACTTCTCCTCTCTTCCTGTTGCTGCTGCTCCTCCTGTTCCATCCCTCTTCCTTAGTCAGAACTCCTCCTCGTCGAACCACGGACGCGTCAGTGGGGCGATTTGGGCGTTTCGCTTGGGATCCCCTCGCAATGCCAATGCAAACCTTCGGAACTCAAAGCTCCCAACATTGGATGGAAGGCGTCCGTCTTGAATATGCCAGTATTGCCTTAGCGATGCGCACATTTGCCTTACTGCTTCCGACAATCACAAGGATGGAAGGCGGGTCGTCTTCAAAATATAGCTCTCACCCTCGTTCCGCGCACCATCGTCCGCAGAGCTTCCGGCATGCAAAAGGGTGGAAGCAGATCGCCGTCACGAGGCGGCTGGGACGAGGGACCCAACACCTTCTGTCATTAGCAAGTCGCGGAGACCACACCATCTCGAGCACTCGCGGTGGCGCGGGGCCGCCGCAAGCGCGCCGCGCCCCCGCGCGGCGCAGGGCGCCGCCCCTCCGCCGCAGAGGGCCGCGGGCCCCCCGCCCGCCCCGCCTCGCCCGCGCCGCGAGGCCCGCCGCGCGCGGGCGCGCGCGAAGAGCTCGGCGGGGCGGGCTGCGCGCCGCCCCGCACCGCGCGGGCCGCGGCCCCCAGCGCCCCGCCCCGGCGGGAGCGCCGCGAAGCCCAGGGCGGCGAGGGCGCGCGGCCGCCCCTGCGGCGGCGTGCGCGGCGCGGCGGGCGACGGGCCGTGGGCGGAGGGGGAGGTGGGCCCGGGCAGGCCGGCCTCTGGCGTGGTGGCGGCCGCCGAGCCGCGGCGCGCGGCGCGGCCGCGGCGCCCAGCGCCCGCGCGGCGTCGGCCCGCCCGCGCGCGCGCCCCGAGGGCCGCGCACCGGAGGTCCCGCTGGCGAAGGGTCGCTCTCGGGCACGCGCAGCGGCGGTGGGGGCGAGCCCCCCGCCGTGTGGGCCGAGCCTGGGACGACCAGCGTGAGCCAAGATGGCTACGGATCAGGAAGGCGGGCTCTCGCTTGAGACCTCCCAGCGCGCAACGCTGTGCGACATCTACAGGGATGGAGAACGTTTCAGTTTGCATGCAACATTGTGTAACCGTAACTGTGAGGAACTGTGTTTCGCGGGTCGCGGCGGCGGTGCCTGCGACGGGTCGTGTTCGTCTGGCTGACATCGTGTCGCTCTTCTTCGTGGGGCGAGGAGCCGATAAACGCTCAGACAGGTTATGCCTGGGGACCTGGACGTGCTCAGCGCTTCGCGCCGAAACGTGGTGAGCCAAAGCTCAGCGACGCGACACGCTAAGGGATGAGGGGCGGCACGGAGGAGGGAGGGCCGGTGGGGGAGGGAGGAGAGAGGAGGCGCAAGCGTCATATCTGACGTCCTGCTCCTCCTTCCCATCCCTTAACATTGCGTAGGTACCCTCTCGATTCGCAGAGAAATGTCGAACAGCGCAACGATCCCGAGGGGGTACGCGATGCATGGCATAGCATAGCACGGCATAGCACGGCATCGCGTCGAGAACGCGACTCATTTCGACAACGAGGCCAGAAGGAAACCAGAAATGACACAGGACGGGACATGCAATATGCTTGTTGGAAAACAGGAAACGCAAAATGAGATCAGCGCTGCAGCGGGAACTCGATATCGAAGGAGCAAAGCCGCGGAAACCAGACCAACGCTGCAGTGGGAGCACGATTTGGAAGGAATGGAAGCGCGGAGACGAAGCCAACGCTGCAGCAGAAACACGATTTGGAAGAGCCGAACCAGCGAAATGAGGTCAGCGCTACAGCAGGAACAGGATTTGGAAGGACTGAAAACGGAAAACTGGAGCCAACGCTGCAGCGGGAGCGCCAGTCTGAAAGAACTGAAAACGTTCGGAGTTGACAAACACTTCGTATCAGTGCGACTGCATCTTGTGTAAAAAACAACTCGCGGAGGAGACCAGGGCACCTCACTGCCGTCCCCGGGGAAGAGAGGTCGTGTATTTCTGAAGCAGAGGAGGGGGGAAGGCAGGAGGGAGGGGGGAGGCAGGCAGGCAGGCGGGCAGGCAGGCAGGAGGGAGGAAGGGAAGGGGGAGGAGAGGTGAAGAAAAGAGGACAGGGGAAGAAGTATTCTACTTGCTTGCTGGTCATATCATGTCCAAGCTGATGCAACGACCCCTCCCCCTGCCCTCTCTCCTTCACCCCTCCGCCCTCTCTCCTTCCTCTCCTCCCTCCCTCTACCCTGCTCCCACCCTCATTCCTCCCTCTTTTCCTCCTCCCTCCTTCCTTCCTCCCTCCTTCCCTCCTCCCTCCTTCCCTCCTCACTCCTTCCCTCCTCCCTCCTTCCCTGTCCTCCCTCCACACCCCCTCCCGCCATTCAATCATCTACCCCCCTCGCGCTGCTCTCCCGTGCAGGAGGAGGACGCGGACGGAGGAGGAGAAAGAACAAGGAGGCGGAGGAAGAGGAGGAGGAGGAGGAGGAGGAGGAGGAGGAGGAGGGAAAGGAGGAGGAGGAGGGAAAGGAGCGACACTGGCCAGCAGGGGTACACTGAGCATAACGATCAGGAAAACATTCGGCAAACTAGACAAGCATGATACTCGCGGTGAAAAGCAGCGGCGACAGCAGGAAGAGGAAGCGGGACGGGGACGGGACACGAAACAACCTCGCCGGCTGGGCCCAGGAGCTGTGGCGACCACGGCGGCCACGGCCGTGGTGGACAACTGAAGGCTCATACTGTTCGTCTCGGCACGCGTGTGCAGAAGGACCCCCCGAAAATTCTGAATGTGTAACCGGCTCAGCCCCGCCATCAGCTGGCGCGGCGGCCTCCGTAACGGCGGCCGCTTTTATCTCGGGCTTCTTCGTCCTTTCATTATAAGCATGACTCCGATTCTTAGTATGATCATTAGTGTTATTATTATTGTTGTCTCATCGCTTCTTCTTACTATTACTATTACTACTGTCCTTCATGTTGTTATTCTCATTCATTTAATTGTTGATATCATAGTATTCGCATTGCTATTGTTATTATAATGCATATTTTCCTTCTGCGTCAGATTCTGGTCGGGAGCTGCCTCGTGATGAATTTCACCGGGGGCACCAACTCTGGGAGCAGACACCGCACCCGCACCGGAAGGCCCAGGAGCCACATCAGGCTGGACATCCGCAGCTGCGGTCCCAGGGACCCGATCCGGCCCAGAAGCCCCCCGCCGAGGGAACAGTGGAACAGGCGATCGATGGAAGTCCTCCGTCGCGCGGCCACTGACCAGCGGGGAGGCGGTCGTTGGCGGGATCGTGCCGCTGGTCTTGGGGGAACCAAGAGGTACCGATGCCGCCAGTCCCCGGACCTCTCCCGGGGTGCTTTCCGACCGGAACTTCGAGGCGAATCCAGCGGTTGCGACGAGGGCCTCCCAGGAGGCCCAAGAAGAGGAAAACGAGGGAAGGGTAGAGAGAATTATGGGCACTTGTTTTGGAGGCCTGGAAATGGGCACCAACACCAACACAGGGGGTTGCCTCCACAGGGGGAAGATGATCCCAGATTTCGGCGTTGGTAGTAACATTTCGCTCTCCTTGGAAGCCGGAATATCACCACTACCGCCGAGATCGGGATCTTCTTCCCTCGGTGGAGGCACGCCGCCGAGATTGGTGATGGTGTCAACCTCTAGGCCTGCGAAATTGTTCCTCCTCGGAGGTCCAGGTCTCTGCGCTGCACGCACTCCTCGCCGGTGGCCAGCTGGCCTCGCCGGGGGCCTGCGTGGCGCGCCCGCAGGCGCGGCCCCGGTGCGGTCGACGGGGTGGGACAAGAACTAGGTCGGGCATGTCCTTCTACAGGCGGGTTTGGGAAGAAAGCTTTAAACATAGGCACGACATAAGCATACAGAATCAAGAGAGCACGAAGAATCGCCGACAGCCTATTTTTCCACTATTTCTTGAACATTCCTCCTGTAAGGGGGCGTGCCCGACTCAAGACAGAAGCGTGAATCCCCACCGAAACGTCTTTGCCCGCCATGCTGTGCCGCTCAGCCGTGCCAGCGTGTGGCAGTGCCAGGGACTCTAAAGGAAGAAAAAGCACCAGAAACATAAACTTTCAACGCTCCGCGCGGATTTTCTGGATCTGCGCTGGACCCCCTCCCTGTCGCGCAGAGCATGCCAGGGGCGGCGCTGGAGGCGCCGCCAGAAGGCCCAGCGCGGATCCAAGAAATCCGCGCGGAGCGTCAAAAGTTTATACTTATTTATGGCGTTTTTTTTTCTTCTCCGAACCACGCAGTCGTGCCAGTGTGTGGCAGTGCCGGGGACTCCGTGCCACGCGGCAGCACCTCCTTGCTGCGGCTAGGAGCCTCGTCGCAGTCGAAGGCGTCGCTGTAGTGTCTGTCCAACGGGGCGTGCCTCGGGCCAGCAGGAGGAGCCGCGACGACCGAAAAGTCGACACGATGCCGGTCACGAAATTGGTCCTCCTGTCTTACAGCCACGGCAGCCAGCGCAAGAGCCTCGTCGACCTGAGCTTTAAACTCCGTGCTGGAGGCGAGCATGATGTGGCACACGAGGATGTACGCGTAGTCTACGCGGATGATGTTGAATTTGAGATCCCGCGGCAGTGCCGGATTACGCCTGGCTGCAGTGGCCAAGACTGCGAATTGCTTGTCAGCTTATCCTGAGAAGGCAGCTATCATATCCTCGCGTAATTAAAAGTTACACACGCTCGCGTTTCCACACGCTCTGGGAAAAGCTTGTTTGAAGCATTGCCGGGGCTTGCGCCTTGAGCTTTGAGCCTTGAGCCGTGCCGAGCCTTAGGCCATCAGAAGGAGGAGGGGGGGAAGGAGGAGGGGGAGGAGGGCGACGACGACAAGGATAATGGCTAGGACAGGGGCGCAGAAAGACGAGGACGGCGACCAGCGACCGCTCTCCCAAGGGGCTGGGGGCTGGCGGGGTCCTCCCGGAACGCTGGCGTGCCGTCGGGCCCGACCACGATGAGCTGCAGGCTCGGGTACGAGGTGTCCTCGCGCGGGGCTGGGCGCCACCTCGCTTCAGCGACGGCGCCAGCTATAAACCTGCACCGACCCTGGCTAGGCCAACCCTGGCCGCCCACCCCCCCACCCTCTCCGGCTTCTCGGCGCCTGTTTCCTGGCTCGTCGCTGGCCTGCGGGGTATCCTCTTCCCGCTCCCTGTGTGGGGGGGGCCACGCCTCCTTGCCTGCAGCTATCCGATTCCCTCGGCCCAAAGTGTGCCAACGTGCAAACCCACCTCTCGAGCGTCATTCCGAAAGCCGCGGGGTGTGATCTGAGCCCTGTGTCCTTGTAGTTCAGCCCGTCCTGCTTGCGTCTGTGGAACTTCCGCTGCATCATGGAATTCACCTGCTCACGAATAGAGACGAATTATCCACATGCGCCGAGCGTTTTACTTATTGTGCGGACAGGGAGGGGGAACACGAACAGAAGGATGAGGAGAGGAGGAAGATTAGGGGGAGAGGGTAGAGGATAAGGAGAAAGGGAGGGAAGGGGAAGGAAGGGGAAAGCGGAGAAGGGGAAAGCGGAGAAGTCAAAGGAGGCTGAGGCGCAATCCCATCAGGCCTGATCAGCCCTGCGGGCGTAGGCGGCTCAGCGAGTTTCTGGGACCCTGGGCCTCGCCGCATCCCCTCGGGGCCTCGCTGCATCCCCTGCAATACCGCACAAGGCACCCCATCCACAGACCCCGCGAAGCCTTGCAGAACGGGCCCTACCCGAGGTATGACCATGCGGTGGGCGTCCGCTGGCCTCGCCGCACGCGGCCGGGGCCTCTGGCCGGGGCGGCCGCTCGAGACGCCTGCTCCCAGGGCCGCTGGGGCAGACGTGACGCCTGCCAGCGCCGCGCCTGAGCCTCGGCCCGAGGACCCCCCCGCCCCGGATTGAAGACCGGGCGCTGACCCGACCGCCGCTGCTCCCGCGCCGAGCCGGAGGGGAGGGCACGGAAGCGGTGGCCGCTCGGCCCTGGGGACCCACACCGCTCCCTGCCGGGTGCCCCCGTCCCCTCCCCAGGCACGCAGGACGCCGTCGGGGCACCGCGAGAGGGGCACCAGAGCCGACGCCTCCCGGGCCGCGAGGAGGGGAGGCGGACGCAGAGGCCGCTGCCGCGGGGAAGGCGCTTCCACTGGCCGCCGCAGGCACAGCTTCCGCCAGCCACCGCCGAGGGGCCCCTGGGGCCCCTCGGCCCCCTTCCGCGGCGCAGGCGCCTCCACCGAGCAGGGACCGACCGTCCCGGCATTCCTATAGTCCTACCACGAAATTCTCTTAGAACCCAAAACTGTTCTAAGAACAAAAAACAAGGTTCTTAGAACATATGAACCCGATGTGATAAAACAAGACAGTCCCAACCGGAAATGTTCTAAGAACATTCCGTGGGAACCACAAAAGGTTCTTAGAACATTGCTTGGTAGGACTATAGGCACGCCAGGACGCTTCGCCACTGCTTGAGCTTCAGCTTCCACCGCTTCCCGCGTGGACGCGCCGGCCAGCCACCGCCGCGGGGCTCCGGGGCCCCCGCTCCCGCTGCGTGCCAGCGCCTCCGTGGCGTGGACTCGGCCGTGGCTCGGGGCTGCGCTCCCCGACGCTCGTGGGGGACCGCGAGCGGCCCTTCCTCGAGAGCCCTCCTGGGGTGGAGGAAGCGCGGACAAATCCGCTCAGAGGTGGCGTACCGAAGCCCGGTCATACCCGCACCAAGGGCAAGCCTGGAATCTGACCTGCCTGGCCCAGCGTCATGTCGGAGCCCAAGCGGCCCTGCCCCTCCAGACGGACAGGCAGTGCCGTTTCCGCGGGGGGGGGCTGGACCCTGCAAGACCCAAAGAGTACAGGAATGTGGTTGGAGTCTTTAGGCCTTGCCGCATGTCTTCATGGTATGAGTAGTGTCGCGACGTCGTTGTTCCAATCCCCTTCTGGGTTCATCGTTGCTCACTAGAAATGCACACCCCCTCCCCCACACGACCTGCAGACAAGCCAACCCAGACCCATGCGCACCCCCCCCCACCCCACCACACACACACACACACACACACACACACGTCGGAAACAATACAAAATCTGACTTGCCTCCAAATCTGGAGCATGCGCGGGCGCCTCCTGGCTACTTCTTTACGTTGACTTTTGAAAGGGACGGGAGGGGGCGGCACATTGCTTGCTGCGCAAAGGCCAACCATCCCTTTATAACTACAATAGAAAAACACATTCTGCCTCCAAATCTGGGGCATGCGCAGACGCCTGGCGACCACTTCGCGTTGGTTTTTGATAGGGGCGGCGGGGGTGCCGGCACATTGCTTGCTGCGGCAGTTCCATGGCACACCTGGTAAACTCTTGGCGGCTCGCACAAGGGGGTGGAGGGAGGGGGGAGGGCTTCTTGGAAGGAGGCTGCTTCATGGAAGGCGCCAACCTTACATCCACAGACGAGGCCCGCGCCATCTGAGAAGCAGGGGTGCTTCTGAGAAGCCCTTCCCCCCTCCCCCTCTACCCCCCTTCTGCGCGTGGCCGACACTCTGCGCGCGCCGCACACGTGGCGCACCTGGCGCGGCTGGAGCGCGCGACACACCCGGCGCACGTCGAGCTCGTGGCGCACCTCGCGGACCTGGCACGCTCTGGGCCTCCGAGGGCGCCCGGTGCATCCGGAGCCCGTGGCGCACACGACATGCGTGGCGCTCCTGGGCAATACCGTCGGGGCGTTGACCTGAGGAACCCTCAATAAGGAACGAGGCCCCTTTCTCCCATAAGTCAATCTTCCATTTCCCATGGGAAATCTCGGGAACACCTGAGGCAAACTGTAAAATTATCAAGGAGCACGGAGCCCCTCCCCAACGGAAAGGGTTCCTTCGTCAGCGCCCCGACTGTACGCTGAGACTCGGGTGCTACTTATGTGCTGAGAGGGGGGATGGAGCCAAACAGTTCGCGTCCAATTGTGTGGCAGGTTCCCTATTAAGAAGCACCCCCGCCCAGGCGACCGGCAGCCAACCAGGACCCATGTCGACCCCATACGCGCACCATCCCTGTCAAAATTATCCCGGCAAAGCAACCTAACAGCGATGTGTAGGAGCATATCTGGAAGCATTCCCCTTAAGATTCATATGAGAAGCCAGTTGTAGAATTCTGCTGTTCTCGCAGTCGTAGTCGCAATCGCGATGACAGTCGCAGGGGCAACGGCAGTCGCAGTCACAGCCTCAGCCTCAGCCTGCCTCAGCCTCAGTCTGCCTCAGCCTCAGCCTCAGCCTGCTTCAGCCTCAGCATCAGTCTGCCTTCAGCCTCGGCCTCAGCCTCCGCCTGCCTCAGCCTCAGCCTGCATCAGCCTCAGCCTCAGCCTCAGCCTGCCTCAGCATCAGCCTGCCTCAGCCTCAGCCTCAGCCTGCCTCAGCCTCAGCCTCAGCCTGCTTCAGCCTCAGCCTCAGTCTGCCTTCAGCCTCGGCCTCAGCCTCAGCCTGCCTCAGCCTCAGCCTGCATCAGCCTCAGCCTCAGCCTCAGCCTGCCTCAGCATCAGCCTGCCTCAGCCTCAGCCTCAGCCTGCCTCAGCCTCAGCCTCAGCCTGCTTCAGCCTCAGCCTCAGTCTGCCTTCAGCCTCGGCCTCAGCCTCAGCCTGCCTCAGCCTCAGCCTGCATCAGCCTCAGCCTCAGCCTCAGCCTGCCTCAGCATCAGCCTGCGTCAGCCTCAGCCTCAGCCTGCCTCAGCCTCAGCCTCAGCCTGCTTCAGCCTCAGCCTCAGTCTGCCTTCAGCCTCGGCCTCAGCCTCAGCCTGCCTCAGCCTCAGCCTGCATCAGCCTCAGCCTCAGCCTCAGCCTGCCTCAGCATCAGCCTGCCTCAGCCTCAGCCTCAGCCTGCCTCAGCCTCAGCCTCAGCCTGCCTTCAGCCTCAGCCTCAGTCTGCCTTCAGCCTCGGCCTCAGCCTCAGCCTGCCTCAGCCTCAGCCTGCATCAGCCTCAGCCTCAGCCTCAGCCTGCCTCAGCCTCAGCCTGCCTCAGCATCAGCCTGCCTCAGCCTCAGCCTCAGCCTGCTTCAGCCTCAGCCTCAGTCTGCCTTCAGCCTCGGCCTCAGCCTCAGCCTGCCTCAGCCTCAGCCTGCATCAGCCTCAGCCTCAGCCTGCCTCAGCCTCCTCAGCCTCAGCCTCAGCCTCAGCCTCAGCCTCAGCCTGCCTCAGCCTCAGCCTGCTTCAGCCTCAGCCTCAGCCTGCCTCGGCCTCAGCCTCAGCCTGCCTCAGCCTCAGCCTGCATCAATCTGCCTTCAGCCTCAGCCGCCTCAGCATCAGCCTCAGCCAGCCTGCCTCAGCCTCAGCCTGCAGCCTCGCCTCCGCCTCAGCATCAGCCTGCCTCAGCCTGCCTCAGCCTCAGCCTCAGCCTGCTTCAGCCTCAGCCTCAGTCTGCCTTCAGCCTCGGCCTCAGCCTCAGCCTGCCTCAGCCTCAGCCTGCCTCAGCCTCAGGCCTGAGCATTCAAAATGTGGCCCCGGAATGGAGTTCTGGGAACTCGAAGAACACGAAGTGGCCTACAGTTGGCTCCGGGCATTCAAAATCATGCCCAGGAATGGAGTTCTGGGAACTCGAAGACCACGAAGTGGCCTACAGTTGGCTCTGGCATCCAAAATGTACGCCGGGAATGGAGTTCTGGGAACTCGAAGACCACGAAGTGGCCTACAGTTGGCTCTGGCATACTCACAAATCCACAACCCCCAAAAAATGTGGGCCCGGGAATCCAAATTCTGGGAACTGGCCCGGGAATAAGAGTTCTGGGAAATGGCCTACAGTTGGCTCTGGGCAGCAACGAATGGCCTACAGTGGGCTCCGGGCATCAAAATGTGGCCCGGGAATGGAGTTCTGGGAACTCGAAGAGCACGAAGTGGCCTACAGTTGGCTCTGGGCATTCAAAATGTGGCCCGGGAATGGAGTTCTGGGAAGTCGAAGAACACGAAGTGGCCTACAGTTGGCTCCGGGCATTCAGAATGTGGCCCGGGAATGGAATTCTGGGAGGTCGAAGAGCATGAAGTGTGTGACTGTTTGCGAAAAGCGCATTCGGACACGAGTTCGGACACAGCTCCCCGGGTCCCGCCCCGACCCCCCTGTGGAGTCATCTGCTGCTCTCTTTTGACACCACTAGAAACCTATCAGCAAAAGCTGTTAGATAAAAAACATACAAAATATACGAAGCCTCAAAATATGAAGCATGCGCGGGCTCCTGACGACAATTTGCATTGGTTTTTGACAGGTGCGGCGGGAGGGGCACATATCGCTTGCTGCGCGCAAGCCAACCATCCCTTTCACAAAACCATGCGAAATTCGCCGGCCCAACGGGCCAGGGCGTGCTAAGATCTCCGGTAACAGGTAAACAGTATTTCTAGTTCGCGCGCGCAGGGCGGCCC